TGATCTTGGTGATAATAAAAGGATTTAACGTTTAATGACAGTGATATTGATGCCCTTGGTAATAGTCAATAATAACAATAGTAATAAGAATGATAGTAATGATAATAATAATAATGATAATGATAATAATGATGATGAAAATGAAAATAATAAACTAGTAATAATAATAATAATTATTATTATTATTATCATTATCATTATTATTATTATCATTATTATTATTATTATTATTATTATTATTATTATTATTATTATTATTATTATTATTATTATTATTATTATTATTATTATCATTATTATTATTATTATTATTATTATTATTATTATTATTATAACGATAATGATAATGATAATAATGATAACAACAATAATAATAATAATGATAATAATAATAATAATAATAATGATAATAATGATAATGATGATAATAATAACAATATTAATGATAATAATAATAACAATAATAATAATGATGATGAAAATGAAAATTATAAAATAATAATAATAATCCTTATTATCATTATTATCATCATTATCATTATTATTATTATCATTATTATTATTATTATCATTATTATTATAATCATCATCATCATCATTATTATTATTATTATTATTATTATTATTATTATTATTATTATTATTATTATTATTATTATCATTATCATTATTATTATTATTATTATTATTATTATTATTATTATTATTATTATTATTATTATTATTATTATTGTTATTACTATTACTATTATTATTATTATTATTATAACGATGATGATAATGATATTAATAATAACAATAACAATAATAATAATGATAATAATAATAATAATAATAATAATAATAATAATAATAATAATAATAATAATAATAATAATAACAATAATAATAAAACTAATAATGATAATAATAATAATAATAATAATAATAATAATAATAATGATAATAATAATAATATGATAATGATGCTTATCATATTAATAATAATAATTACATTAGTGATAGTGATGGTAATGCTAACAATGCTAATGCTAATAATGATAATAGTGATTAATTATAATTAATGATAATAATAATAATAACAATAATGATAACAGTGTTAATGATGATAATAATAACAACATTGGTAATAATGATAGCAATAATGAAAATGATAATGACAGTAATGATAATGATAATAATGATAATCATAATAACAATAATAACAATAATAATAATAACAATTATGATGATGATTATGATGATGATGGTGGTGATGATGATGATGATGATGATATGATGATAATAATAATAATAATAATAATAATAATAATAATAATAATAATAATAATAATAATAATAACAATAATAATAATGATAATGATAATATCAATGATTATAATAATATTATGATGATAACAAAAACATAAGAATAATAACAATTATAATCATATTAATCAATGATAACGATAAAAATAATGACCTGCCTGTGATCCGCCAGTCCCATTTTACGTTACGATGAGAACTCTATTCTAACTCTGTTATTATTATTGTTGTTAATATTGCTGTTGCTGTTATCATTATCATTATTATCACTATCATTATCTTTGTCATTATCATTATTACTATGATCATTATCATTATCATTATCATTATCATTATCATTATCATTATCATTATCATTGTCATTATCATTATCATTATCATTATCATTATCATTATCATTGTCACTATCATTATCATTATCATTGTCATTATCATTATCATGATCATATAATGATTATCCTTATCATCATCATCATTATCATTATCATTATCATTATTATTACTATTGTTATTATCATTAATTGTTGTAGTTGTTGTTACCATTATTACTATTACTACTTTTATCATTAACATTATTATCATCCTTCTATCTGAGAATGGGGGTTAAGAAGGGATGGGGATAAGAGAAAATGAAGGGAGATATAGAGGAAAGGAGAGGGGGGGGGGGGCTTAAAGCGGAAAGTGAGATGGGGAAGGGGTGACGGAGGAAAAGGGGATGAATAAGAGGAAAGGGAGGGGGAAGAGACAGAGGCTCAGAGGGGAATTTATGGAGGAAGAAAAGGGAAGTGGGAGGAGGCAAAGGTAAGGATTGAAGCGGGAGGGAAGGAGGGTATCAGTGGAAAAAAATAGAAGTGGGATTGGGAAAGGGAAAGGTAGAGGGAGAGGAATGTGTAAAGGAGAGGGGAGTGGGGAGACGAAAGGTAGGAGGAGGGTGAAAGGAGGAGAGACGAGTAACTTTTTCCCTGGAATTTCCACGGGTCCCACTAGTAATGATAATGATGATGGCGATAATGACGATAAGCATAACAATAAGAATAAGAACACGAAGAAGAATAAGAATAAGGAAAAACGACGTATCGCTCTCGAACCCGCGGCCTATCAGCTAAATGTACTGGGCATCGCGCAGTAACAATATCGGGACAAAAATGATACAAAGTATCTTAAAATTACCGGAAATGCCTGAGAGCGTAATAATCTTCCTGAATTCCTTTGAAATTGTAGCTCCCGCCGCGGCCGCAGCGCAAAGGGCTCCTCCGCCGAGACAAAGAGGCGTCGAGCGCAGCGTCCGGACACTGCGAGCCTCCTTGAAGTCTTGCAACAGTGTGCAACATTCAACAATGTCCTCCTGACGCAGATGGGCGACTTTCATCAATAACTGTAACACTGTGGCCACCATTCGGCCCGAGTGCGATCACCAGTGGGCGTTTCGCCTCTATGGACACCTGGAACATGGCTCACCGAAGGGAAGGAAAGCATCCCACACGTTTCCTGCACAGCTATGCGTCTTGGGTAATTCTAAACTCTTTGTCAGCTACTTTCTACTATTGACGAGGAATGCGGACGCACGCACAAATAAACTCAGGCACACATACGCGCGCGCACACAGACACACAAGCAGCAATGTTATATAGAGAAGTGAGGAACGAATGATATCCATTCTCACCATATATCACTGCGTCATCTGCGAACATTGTAGTCCAAGGAGACTGCTGTTGGTCCCGCGCGCCGACCCATCCATCACCAGGACCGGACTCAGAGCCGACCCTTGATGGCATCCCACCTCCACCTTGAACCCATCTGTCATACCCACAGCAGACCTCACTGCTGCCACGCTGTTCTCGGACATATCTTGCTCACGCACTCATATTTCTGTCACACGCCTGACACCCCCATACAACACCGTAACTCCTCTCTCGCCACCCTGTCACCAGCTCTCTCTCAATTCGCGAACAGCATCTCCCTCTCTCTTCTCTATCAACACTTTCTTATTGCTAATTAATCTGTTATCCTCATTTTTAGCGTTGGTGATATCAATAGCATCAATATTGATATCATCGTTGCTACTGTTCTAATAAATTATTACTATAGTGATAAGAAGAACAAGAAAATAAAAATTGCAAATAACAGCACCAATATTTTGATGGATATTAACATATCGATAATCATGGCAATCATTGATACTAATGATACTTCCGGCAATTAATCAAGCTGCCTTTTGTATCGCGGTTGTTGCAACGTGCAATACCCGGGTCATTTCCGACAGTGTCGATGCGAGGTATACGGGCTGTGTCAATTCTGTTTTAACATTCATTATGTCTTTGTTAGCAATGAGCGAAGACACACCCACGTACATAAAGAATCACAGACACCCGAATATACATATGTATGCGTGTATAAGTCTCTCTCTCTCTCTCTCTCTCTCTCTCTCTCTCTCTCTCTCTCTCTCTCTCTCTCTCTCTCTCTCTCTCTCTCTCTCTCTCTCTCTCTCTCTCTCTCTCTTTCTTTCTCTCTCTCTCTGTCTATCTCTGTCTCTCTCTCTCTCTCTCTCTCTCTCTCTCTCTCTCTCTCTCTCTCTCTATATATATATATATATATATATATATATATATATATATATATATATATATATATATATATATATATAGGGAGGGAGAGAGAGAGAGGGGGGGGAGAGAGAAATATAGATATAGACATAGATATATATATACAGACAGATAGATATACATATCTATATGTCTGTATATATATATATAGATAGATAGAAATATATATTTACATGTGTGTATATACATAAATAAATTGATAAATACACGCAGACACGCAAACATGCGTGTGTGTGTGTGTGTATATATATATATGTATATATATATATATATATATATATATATATATATATATATATATATATATATATATATATATATATATATATTCATATATATTTGCGTTTGTGTGTGTGTGTGTGTGTGTGTGTGTGTGTGTGTGTATGTGTGTGTGCGTGTGTGTGTGTGTGTGTGTGTGTGTGTATACACACGTATACGCGTGTGCGTATGTGTGAGTATATGTATATAAATGTGTGTGCGTGTGTACCGTCGTGCTCACGCGCTGTGACACCACGGCAGGCCCTTAAAGTTCTAGCCTCGTTTGGACCTAAAAAAGGAAAAAACACACCTCTAAACACACCTCCGCCCTCTCGCCCCTACTACGCCCTCCCGCCCACACCCAGGCCCTCCCGCCCACACCCAGGCCCTCCCGCCCTCACCTCTGTCCTCCCTCCCACGACCATTTACCTCACCTCCCCTCCTGCGACACTCGAGTAACGCAGGAGCGATATGCCACAAGGACTTCCAAGGCGAGTTGTCACGAGCGGGTTACCATGGCAACGATCTCTGGAAAACTGATTTGAAAAGATGAAGGTGAGGGGGTAAAGGGTGAAGGGGGTACAGGAGAAAGGAGAAGGGGAAAGGAGAGGGAGAGGGTAAGGGAAAGAGAACCAGAGATTAGTGAAGGGGAATGGCACAAGGTGAGGAGAGGGAGGGAATGACGCAAGGGAAGATGGGAGGATTGATGTAAAGGAAGATTCATACATCAGGTGAGGTTTTGTTCCTGAAAGCACCGTAATGAGGATTAGGTCATCCTTTTCTTTAGCTTCATCTGGTTTGTCTGTTTTTAAGAAGAAAAAGAATGCGACTTACCTGTTTCGATGGAGAGGAAAGAGCGTCGACGAGCTGGCGCCGAAGAAGGAACAGACAGGGAGATAGTCACAGCTCCTCCTCAGTTCCTTTCCTTTTCTTGATTTTATTGCTACTTTTTAATCTTCGTGCTTTTTTCTCTACATTCTCCTTTTGTTCTTGTGTTACTCGTATTATTTCTCTTCTTTTTCTCTCTGTATTTTCCTCGCTTTGTTATTACACAAATTTTTCTTAGCACCTTTCCTACATTCCCTCTTCGTCTTCCTTCCTCCTCCTTCCTCTTTCCTTTTTCTTCCTCCTCTTTCCTCCTCCTTCTTACTCTTCCATCCGCCCTTCCGCCCCCTCCTGCCTCCTCCTCCTCCTGAGCGGCTCCCTCCTCGGCCGAGGAAGATCCCGTCTTGAGAGGAGATGCTCAGCCTCGTCGACGCCGCCTCGGGCTGTCTTGAGGGACGTCCGAGGCAGACAAGTCCCCAGGGGAAGGCAAGGGGCAGGGGCAGGTGGCACAGGACAGGGGGCCGAGGCAGGGGTGAAGGGACCGGGGAAAAGGGTAGAGATAGGGAACGGAAGTAGGGGGCTGAGGCAGGGGCAAGGGAAGGGGAGACGGGGAACACGCTTCTCCTTGTATGATATTTTGTGAGTTTCCCTTTTTTATTTGTTGGTTTAGTACTGTTTTTCTTTGTGGGAAAATATTTGCATGAATAGTTTTATTTACCTTTTTTGGGGAAGGGGCCCTGAATTTGTTTTCTCTTTCTTTCTTTCTTTCTTTTTATCGTCCGGAGGAAGGAGAACTAGTTATTTCTAAACATTTCAGAATTTTTTACGTGAGCTTTTCTTACTGCACCTTTTGTCTCTGATTTTTGTTTATTCAGTTAGGTTTTCCCTTATTATCTTGATTTTTCAAAAATAAGAAAAAAGAATCTATAGAAGCTGCATCTAGAAATTGAAAAAAATGTAAAGGTTAATTTGAATAATTCATTAATTTTCCCTTTTTCTCGTTTTCCCATGTTGCTGCGATTCAACCGGCAGACATAAACAGAAAAAAGGGAGAGAAAAATGCTTAATTAACCTTAATAACAACTTAGATTTTATTTACAACTTCTCGCCCTCTTTTTAGTTCTCAATCCTTCTCTCTCTCTCTCTCTCTCTCTCTCTCTCTCTCTCTCTCTCTCTCTCTCTCTCTCTCTCTCTCTCTCTCTCTCTCTCTCTCTCTCTCTCTCTCTCTTTCCTCTCTCTCTCTATCTCTCTTTCTATCTCTCTCCCCCCCCTCTCTCCCTCTCTCTCTCTATCTGTGCGTGTGTGTGTGTGTAGATAAATATATGGATATGTAGGTGTGTGTGTGCGTGTGTGTGTGTACACACACACACACACACACACACACACAACACATACACATATATATATACATATATATATATATGTATATATATATATATATATATATATATATATATATATATATATATATATATATATATATACATATATATATATATATACATATATATATATATATATATATATATATATATATATATATATATATATATATATATATATATATACACACTATATATATATATATATATATATATATATATATATATATATATATATATATATATATATATACATATACATATACATATATATATATATATATATATATATATATATATATATATATATATATATATATATATATATATATATATATATATATATATATATATATATATAATATATATAAATACCTTCACTCACTCTCGCTCACTCTCTCTTACACACTCTCTCTTTCACCGCCTTCCATTCTCTCTCTCTCCCTCTGCTCTTCACCCAGTTCATGTCCTGATTTACATCCGTCCGTACTCTCACAGTGCGCCGTTCCCTTAGCACTAGCACTGGCGAGTCCCCCCCCCCCCCCCCCGTGCCGTGCGTCGCAAAGGCTTCCAGTCTTTACGATGTTTACGCGAGCGATCCTCGCCGATTCCCGCCGCGCTGAGCTCCGCCGCCGCCCCTTCGTCCGCTGCGTCGTGCTTCGCTTTGTTTTGTTTTTCCTCATTTTTCGCGCCGCTTCTTTGCAGCCTCTCTTCTTTCAGTCGACGTCTCTGCAATGGCTTTCTCCCTTGTCTCCCCTTATGCCTTTTCCTTCTTCCCATCAGTCTTTATCCTTTGCATTTATTTTCTTTCTGGAAAAAAACAAAGCGACATCGTTTTTCTCTCCCTTTTAACACTTTCATTATCCCTTTTCATCCCTCTCACTTTTGTACCAAGAGTTCGCCCCGATGTAGTTTTTCTCCCCCACTCTCTCCATCCCCTCTCTTTCCCTCCCTTTCGGTAAAAGAACTCGCCGTGTCGTTTTTCTCGGCGCTCGTTCTGCTCGACGGCGAGGGTCGGCTGGAGGCTCACTCTCGCCGCCAACACGCGGAATCGCTGCCGCCTCCGCTCCCTCGGTCCTTCGCTGCGGATTGAGGGCGAGTCTACACGGACTCCACGACGCAGGTCGGAGGGAGTCGGGCTTGCTGTTTCTTTGTCTTCTATATATTTTTTTATGGGTAAGGACAAACACACTATCGAAGACAAAAGTTTCCTCTACTTCTGAGTTATGAAGGAATGTTTCTGCTTCTTTTTTTCCTTCTTTGTATCGAAACTAAATCACTACGAGAGGCTGCATTGGGTGAGACTATACACACGGGGGCAACGGGTACTGCACTCAAGCACAGGCGTCGCAAGCGTTCCAGATGGTTTCGGAGGCAGCACTGGGCGCGAGGGTATCGGGCGCGAGGTGAACCACAGACAGTATTCCCGAAATCGAGTCACCAAGATCATGGGTCTGATCTCCTTGAGTGCCTTAGGTTCAGGTCACGGAGGAAGAAGCACAGGGCCTACACGGGATGATCAGTGCAAAGACAGAGTGGAAAAAGAAATTTAGTCAGAACCGTCAGCAGAAGTGTAAAAAGACAAATTCTGAAGAAAAAAGGAACATAAGAGGCAGGGGGAGGGGGCGGAGGGCCACAGCTACACTCACATGTTGCTTCTTCCTCCCACCTGTAGAGTCTCAGACCGTAAAGCTTAACAGACTCCAGATTCTCACACACCAACTTTCCAGTACTGTCGCTTGTTCCGTACGATGATTTTTTCCGACAGACCAATGCGCTTTGTGATAAAATATCATACCTTCGCTCTCTTCAGCTTCTTTGTCTCCGTTTTTATTCGTCGTTCTTTGTCAGCCTGTCCGCGAAAGACCACTACCAATGGCCTCGCTTCCCTTGCC